AGCTCCTGCCTGCCCAGAGCCCGGTTCCTCCGCACCATCCCGACACCCGTGCTCCTGCTCCTGGGGAGACCCAGCACCGCTGCCCACCCTGCTGCTGGTCTGGGCCTGGCCCTGCCTCGCCGGAGAACACTGCTTTCATCCCCCCCCGGTGATGCTGAGCCCCACTCACACAGCGGCTCATCGTTGCCTTCAGGCTCATCAGCAGGTTGCCCAGGTCGCCCATGCTCTGCTGGTGGTCCGTGCTGGTCCTCATGGCGCTGGGCAGGACCTCCTCCATGTAGAACCGCATCATCTCCGACACCGACTGGCAGCCAAAGGTCCCCTGGGGCGAGAGGAGGTAACCGCGTTGGGGACGGCCACCAGCACCGACGTGCGTGGGTGGTTTTAAGATCAAAATCGCAGTGGTGGTCAGAGCGCTTGCAGCATGTTAGCACCGCTTGCTGCGGCTGCGATGTGGGGGGAACCATGCGTCAGCCCTGCCGCAGACACACGTGTTACTGCTGGGCTGGAGAACTGTCCTTGTCTGACATTGAAAAAGCCCCAATTTACAATCTGCTTCCTTTCTTACAAAACACTGGCCGAAGGATAAGGGACTTAGATAAGAATTATAATTCTTACCTTAAATTCATCCAGCAGTTCGGAGCTGAGCAGCTGGATGCTCAGTTCATCATCTTTTGATTGCTGTAGAAGGATGCAGTGGAAACATGAGCTTTACTTAGGCAGTCAACACTATTTCTCCCTTTGCCCAACCAAACGATCGTTTTCCTTGTTTGCATTTATGGTCTGACTGAAGCGAAGGCAAAGAGCACCCAGCACACTTGTGTGCACAGCACAGTAACCCCAGATACGGGAGTTGCCCATTCTTTGGTCCATAGTCTTGCAGTGCCACTACCGCTAGGTCAAGGCAGCAAGATAATGAAATCACAAACTTCAGTGCCATCGATTTTGTTAATGTGAAACTCCTCCCGCCGCTGCCAGCACTGCAGGCTCGCTTCAGCTGCAGAGGGTGTTTATGTAGGAGTGCTGATGCAAACCGCCCCGCTCTTCAGATGCCTGTCAAAGTTATGACAGCCCTGGAAGCGAGGTATCCACCCCAGCCTGTCTGCCCGCAGGCTCGCCGGGGCAGGAGGGTTTAATCCCCCTGGTTTTTTTGTCTCTGTAAGTCTCCGGTCAACAGGGGAAAAGGGATCTGCAGAGGGTGTTTGTTCTTGTGGTGCCTCTGTTGCACCATCAGCTCTGGAAGACCGGAGAGCTGCAGCGGGGCAGGCTGGCACCAGCCAAAGCATCACCCCGTGGCACCAAGTTACCAACGCTTTCCTGAGAGGTTAAAAATATTCCTTCCCAACATTAACTGGAAGATTGACAGCAAGCTCGAAATTTAAAGTCTTCACTGTGTTCATTTGATAATAGATACAAGCCATGACATTAGCCTGAGATTTAATCTGGAAAATTACCTCGTTTTATTGCTAAAACACACTGACTAACTAAAATAGTAACACAAACGTGACCAACTATCTCTATCAGTACTGATGCAATGACAAACGCTCCGAGTCTATCTTGTGCTGCTTTCTCAGCAACCCCGAGGCTCCCGTTAGCTGCAATGCAAAGCAGTGACCTTTTCCAGGCACCGCAGCAAGTGCTAGTTACTGTAGTGCTCCTCCAGTCATAAAATACTATGTTCAGGCTTTTGTGGTTCTTTCAAAGAAAAAGTCTGTAGCAAAAGATTTCCCTTTTCATCTAGCATTGACTTCAGCAAGGCTGAAGTTGCCCTGAAGAAGGGACTATTTCCTTCCTATGAATTCAGTGAATAATTTGGTCTGCAATGTTTAGGGGGAAGTCTGGCCAGCAAGGTTCACAAAGATTCATTATGAAATCTCTTGAGTTCATTGTAACTAAAACTAGGAAGAAAACCCTTGCATGTTGTCTCTGAGCGAGCAATGAAACTGAACTTCTCTTGCTCACCCCCGACAGCCCGTAACACAATACAGGACCAAATCATTTCTGCGGGAGGAAGCTGTCTTCCCCTTATCCAAATCACTGAACTTTGCAGAAAAAGCAAAACGAGAAGGAGGCGAGACTAGCAGGGCTATACTTACAAAATAATCCTTAATTTCCTCAAACTTGATCCTCAGCTCTCTGAGCTTTGCAGGCAGGAGCTCCGAGAAGTGGAGGCAGCTGGGCTTGGGGGGCGAGCACCTGGCAGGCAGGGCGCTGGCAGCCAGGAGCAGCAAGAGCAGGGCTGGGCGGCTTTGCATGCTGTGAGAATGAGCTGCTTGCCTCTTGGTCCAGCTCTCGGCTGAATTTCACAGGAGGGTTAAAAGCAGATCTGTAGCCTTCACCTTGATGGAGCCCCTAATTTATACTCTCAAAACATCGCTCAATTTCCTCTCCCCATTTCCTGGCGAGCAATATTGGGGTTTTAAGTCATTCATTAAAACCAAATGTCACTTGGGTTTCCCGTCAACTTGGGTTTCCTGTTCTCTTGACCCCCCTCCTCTCCTCACACCCCATCAAATCTTTTGTGCTTAGACTCTGCATTTTCTTTTTTCATTGCTTGCTTCTTGTAAATTTAAATGTGGCTATCTTCAGATACAATGCGAAGAAGAAAAGGTGCTGTGTAAGGTTACTTCTGCATTCTCACAGTTACTTTTTATTTTTAGATGAATGCCCTTATTGTTAGGGGAAAAAAAGTGTTTCTATTTTTAAACCTCCGTATCAAACCTGCACTTAGGATCCCCAGCACCATGCATAATTCAGCAGCATTGCTTTTAATGAACCTGCACAAATACACTGTCACCTCCTTTGGCATTCTAATGCTATCCTGCAAATACACATGACAATCTTAAATTTTAAATTTTTTTTCAGCATATGTCTGCTGAAGGCGATGTGAATTCTCGCTGCCTTCAGCAAACTCAAAGACTATGCTCCCAAACTTCAGCTGGTGCTGTGTCCGAGTGCTAACGGGGTTAGTTCTGTGATGTGCCGGGATGCGGCGGAGGAGCCCAGCCCGACTGCGATGCGTTGCTGCCCAGGTCCTGGCTTGTGCGCGGCTGGCTGCGCCTACCCAGAGCAGCGGGGTGGGAGCAGGGTTTGTGCCATGGGAGCCGCTATTTTAACATTGGTGTTAAAGCGTGTAAGCAGGTCACAAATATTTGTGTTTCTGGCTTTTTAGTCCTATTTCGTTTCCTAGAAATGGACATGAGCCCCATCCAAGCAACCCAGTGCTGGCTCTACGAACTGGGTGTATTGTGTTAACTGAGATTTATTGTCCCAGCGCTGATAAAATTACCATTTCAGAGCTGAAGATAATTCCTCTGACGTCTCTTGTTTTCCGCTTTCCTCTCTTTCATGCTCTCTTTCTATATATATTTGTACACACCCCCCCCCGCTTCCTTGTGATAAAGATTTCACTGATGAATTTGGGAATCTGTTATCCAAGAAAGAGAAAGTGGAGATGAATTTGGCCTTTCTGAAATCAGAGGGTTTTCTTTGAGACCTCCCGCGTTATTTTGAAACAATGTGTTCTTCCCAGCCTGCCTCCAATACATTGCTTTGGACAAATTACCTCAATTCTCATTTCCTCCACTGCACTGAAGCTCTTTTAAGCTGAATTTGCAAACCTCTGTGAAGGAACTTGTTGCAAAAAAAAAGCTGGAAAAATGCAAAGTATTGTTTGTTACCGTATATTTAGGGTTTTTAAAAATTTATTTTTAGGAGCCAAAGAGAGGAATATTTGATGTACGTACGTATGAGTAAGAGTAAAGGGGATGAAACATTAGTAATTGAAGGGTTTGAGGCACAGACAATGTGGGATTTTGTGTTCTGATTTGTTTTCCTTTTGTTGTTGATGTTGCCTCTTCCAGAGGAGGTGAGGAAGCCTGCTCCCGGTGAATCACTGCAGGCACACTACTTTATCTGAATCGCAGTGTGTCGTGTATTTGGTGACCCATTTTTCTTCCCCTGCTCTAATGCAGCCGTGCAGTTTCTTCCCTTGACCGCCAGCCGAAGCTATGATGAAAGGAGGAAAGTGAGCAGCAGCAGATGGCTCAGACAAACCGAGCAGTTTTAAACTCAACCTGTTCCCACTGGTAGCATCCCACCTTTCTCTGCTTTCCCCCTTGGCTCCCACCAGGGGAGGTTTTTTGCTTATTTTGGATTAACTCGAATCTGCCGTGGGTCAATAAAGCTTCCATGCCAAGACCTGGACGGCTGCTTAAGTTTCATCAGGGCATCAAAACTGATGTGGCAAGGGCAGGGGGTGCGATGCTGTCAGGAGGCAGTGCCCCGGAGCGGCTCCGCAGGCAGCCTGGCCCCGAGCTGGCCCCATGCCCGGGACCAGAGCCCAGAGCTAACCCCGCTCCCTTCGGTGAGGGATGCAGCCCCAGGCACTTCTCTGCAAATCGGGTCCCCTGCAGCGGAGGGGTCACACTCAGCCTCAGCTGTAGGTTTAGGTGCTGGTATATTCGTGGGATGCAAAGCAAAGGTCTTTGGGCGCACGGGAACCTCCCCCGCCGCCAGCGGGAGCCGGTGCAGCGGCGGCTGGGCGCCGGGAGCCCTCCTTCCTTCCTGCCGAGGAGCTCAGCGCTCGTTTCCAGACTACTCTTATTTTGATCAGTCTGTGGGTCTCCATGAAGTCACTTCAGTTTGACACCCAGAGCGTGCAGAGCGGT